GTCTGGACTTGGGGCTCTGGACCAGGTACAGACTTGTCTTCAGCAAGATGGGATCCACTGTGGGATGCTTTCTTGAGCCCCACTTCTGTCCCCAGCACTAGGCTTACCTATGTGATTTTCCCTTCTGAGGACTCCAGTCCAATCGCATAAAGGCCCTGGTCCTGGTAGGCAGATGCTGGGGGAAGGCGGACTAGCTTTGCTTGGGTATCTATTCCCTTGAAAGGCCACTAGCCACCTGGAGCAGCTGCTTCCCCGGGACAGAGCCCATGAGCTGCCTGTGCAATCAGGAGTGTCAGGCGATTTGGGTTTGCTGGGAATACATCAGCACAGAGACCCTACTCTTAGGCACAGAGATGAGGGTATGGACAGGAGTGTGTCCCTATAGTGCCACACATATGGGCAGCAGGGTTCCTGCAAGCCAGGATCTCTGGGCCTTCAGTCCGACACAGTGCCTTCATTTTCTATCCTACAGACTAATCCCAGGCATTTTGGGGAGATAGCATGTATGGTTGGGGCTTGGAAATAAACAATCTTTGTGCTTCTGTATGTTGATGTCTTTTTCTCCAGAGTGCAGTTTGGCTAGAAAATGCCCTTCTGTGCGGATGCCCTGCAGAGGGTCATTGTGTAGGGTGCTTTGTTGGGCTAGCCTGACTAGCTATGTTGAGGACTTGCCTGGAACTTGGAGATCCCAGAAAGTGGTGACCTTGGCCTGGCAGCAGGTGTGTACAGAATGCCTGGGATATGCTTAGGTCTGTGCTGGAGTCTAGCTTGGTGGAAGGTCAAAGAATGAGGGAGTTTGGGAGTTTAACTCTGGGGGTAGGCAGCACTTGCCCAGCATGTGTGAGGCCTTGGCTTCCCTCTCTGGCACCACAAAAACTAAAACAAGAGGGTAAAGTAACCCTCAGGAGCCAAGATCAAACTCCTCAGGAATGTGCATGACATGGTACCCTGGGCCCCTGAGAGGGGATGTTCACCAGCCCATTGAATGCCATCTGGAGAAGGCAGGGGCTAATCCAAGCAGGAAGAACATGGCCTAGGAGTGCTTTATATCTCATATATGCTCACTCTGGAAAACCACAGAACATTCCTGTGATCGCTTTGTTCCCTTTACAGATTAGGAGCAGGCAAGGTTCCATTGAGAGAAGGCTTATGGCAAATCAGTGGTAGCTGGGAGTCAGAGTTTATTTCAACATGTGTGGATAGCAAGGTGCTCACAGGTATTCTGGGGAGATTGGTGTGTCTGTACATTTACAATGGGCACGGCAGCTCTGTGTGTGGAGATTATGTCCAGACACCCAAAGATGGGGGAGGTTTCATCAAGGTGACTCATGTACCAGACTGTGGCAGGAGAGTTCAGGAAACACCAAACAGACTGGAAACAGGGAAGATGTTCCAGGATGATAGTAGCAAGAGGTAGGACAAGAAAGATAAAACCACTTGGTTTTTCTGGGAGTGGTAGGTAGAGAGAAAACTAGAAAGGAGTGAAACTGAGGCCCTGGGACCAGTTATACAGGCCTTATACAGGAGATGGCTAAGGCAGGACTAGTGGGTGTGGGATGTGGCGTGATGTCACAGAGAGGGGAAAGTCTAATAGTACCTGCTTTGATAGTGATGGATGACTGATGGGTCTGGAGCCTCAGGTCAACAGGCTGTTAAGATGTTAGGAGAATGCAGAAAAACATATACTCCTCATTCTGGTGACAGAAGACAATAGAAGTTTACTGTTCATGTAAAGTCTGAAGTAGTATCTGAACAAGGAGGGAAGGTTTGTTCTTATATAAGAGTGATCAAAGGGTCCAGGCTTTATTATTTTTTTTTTTTTCCAGTCCTGGAGCTTGAACTCAGGGCCTGGACACTGTCCCTGAGCTTCATTTGCTCAAGGCTAGCACTCTACCACTTGACATTACATTGCTGTCTCCAAGAAGCAAGCTTCTGGGGAACTGCCAGGGTTTCAACCATCACAACCACCACACCTTCCCACTTCTTTTGGCACCCAGAAAAGTCCTTTGTTCAGTAGTTAGCCTTGTTTTTCAATTCCAAAGCTATGGGCGCTACTGGGTGGGCAAAGAGGAGTGAAGTGTAAGAAGCGTTCTGGAAGTGGCAGAGATAGTTGCATGAGACCCTGTCCTGGATCAACTGTCTTCTATCTGCCACTTTGGCTGAGTGGTGACCAGAAAACTTGGATTTCAGGAAGTGGCGCTGTGGCTCAAGTGATAGAGCGCTTGCCTTGAGCTGAAGAGTTCAGAACAGTGCCCAGGCCCAGAGTTCAAGCCCCATGACAGACCAAAAAAAAAAAAAATGTGTTAAAACTTGGATTTCTCCACCCCTGACATGCCATGCTCAGAGGCCAGTGCTTAGCCACCTCACACTTCTCTCTTCTCCTTTCCATCTTTTATCTCTGTGTGTACCCCTTGTACTCTGCCAGGTGGATCCTCTTCCATCCAGGCTCAGAGCCAGCTCCTCTGAGAAGGCCCAAGGATATCTTCCTTTCCCAAGCTCCAGACCATCTCCCCCTCCCAGGAAGGCTGTTATGTCTCTGTTCACCTCTGTGCTACATGGAACTAACTGGGCAGGCGTCACATGTGCTTGATACCACAACTGAGACTGTGCTTTGCCTGCTCCATGCCCTTTAGCTCTCTTAGGGATGACTCCAGCCCTTTTGAAGGACATCCTGGCATCAGGATCATGGTTTCAACCTCTGCTCAAGGCTAACCCCACTGCTTTTACTAACTGAGTTTCTTAAGTCTGTAGAGGCTTCTGTCTTTATATGTAAAACAGAAGAGAAAAACTTGCCCTACAAGATCTGTGTGAAAAGGAACTCAAAGAGGTATGCAAACACTTAATGTTCAATAATATTAGCTGTATATTTTCAAAGAGTACTGATGGGATCATTTAATGAGAAATAAATGTCCGTGGTGCACACACCAGTGGTTCCTGCTACTTGGGAGGTGGAGGTAGGAAGATAGTCTTGGTCAGAAGGCAGTCTGGAGGGAAAAATTAACATGCTATCTGAAAAACAAACTAAAAGCAAAGGACTTGAGTTCAAATCCTAGTACACCTCAGCGGAGGGAAAAATAGAATCCTTCTGGATGTCAAGGGCTGGGGCTGGATGAGCCAAGAATGGAGAGCAACTTGTGATGGATATGAGATTTCTTTTTGTGATGATGAAGATGGTCAAGAGTTATATATATAGGAGGTAGTGTTGATTACACAATCTTGAGCTCACTGATTTTTCGGACACAAATTATGTCAATTTAAAAAATATTCACCTGGAGGGCTGGGAAGGTGGCTCAGTGGTAGAGCGCTTGCCTTGCATGTCTGAGGCCCTGGGTTCGATTCCTCAGCACCACATAAGCAAAAAGAAAAAAAGCCGGAAGTGGCGCTGTGGCTCAAGTGGTAGAGCACTAGCCTTGAGCTGAAGAGCTGAGGGACAGCGCCCAGGCCCAGAGTTCAGGCCCCACGACTGGACCAAAAAAAAAAAAAAAAAAATTCACCTGGAAAACAATATTGAATTACAAGGGAACTAGATACTGGAGTCAGTGCCAGGCACAATCTAGCAAAGTGAGGTCTGTGCCCAAAGAGCAGGTCTAAGGTGTCCTCCTTGGTGTCAGTGAAATACCTCAGAGCTCAGCTACCTGAGTAGCTAGGATTACAGGTGTGAGCCATTGTTTTATTACCCTGTCTTATCTCTGACCACAGCATGTAAAAAGTACAAAACTGGGAAGGTGAGAGAGTCAATCTGAAGCTACCAATGAACTGCCAGGACATGGGCAGGCTAATCTGTAATATAAAACACTGGCTATGTATGTGTGGCTGACAGCACACAAAAGGCTTCACATAAGTAGTCTCATTGGATACTCCTCACAGCTCTTAAGGTAGGTGCTGATGTTTACATTAAGAAGATGGAGATGGTTATCTGTTACTAGTAGCTCAAGCCTGTCTCAGGAAATAGACATCTACAGGATGAAGCTCCAAGTCAGCCAAGGCAGAAAAATCTGTGAGACTACATCTTCTACTAACCAGCAAAAAGCCAAACTGTTGGCATGGCTCAAGTAAGTAGCAGAGTGCCAGCTATGAGCAAGAAAACTGGGCAAGAGCTGAGGCCCTTTTAAGTTGAGGTACCAGCCCCCTTCCTCCACAAAGAAGACAGGGATGGTTTTAATCTTTCACTGTTAGCTTGAATACTTCTAGATTTAATTTCAAATGTGCTGGCTCAGGATCCTTGTCCGTCCTCTGGATCTTAGCACACAAAAAGGGCACTTGCCTGTTGTCAGCCCAGAGCTGACTCCTCATTCTGGGAGGAAGGTCTTTGCACACTTCTAGGTCCCTAGTCTTTGTCCCTGCAAGTGATGAGCTTGTTGATTCCTGTGGTTGGTTCTGGTTGGGGCTGTCCCTCACACTTGTTTTTCTCTGGGCTTTCATGGCGTCCACCAAAGCAAAAATCGCTTTTGTTTTTAATATCCATTATCCTATCCCTTTGCCAGAACTGTGGGTGCTCAGCTAGGTTGGCCGAATAATTACGTATCGAAGAGGCGGTTATGGCACCCAGGGTCGCCACAGCCTAGCGGGTGAGCCCAAAACAGCTCAACAGGTGTCAACAGAAGTGTCTGGGATGGGGTGGGGTAGAGCCTGGCTAGGGGCGGGGCTGGGCTTGTGTAGGTGGAGCAGATGGGGCGCTGGCTGGCTAGATTGGAGTTGGAGGGGGCCCGTGTGCGCCGGACCGGACTTGGGCGCAAAATGGGCGGGGCTTGTGGGGGGCAGAGTGGGCGGGGCGCTAGCTGGCTAAATCGGAGTTGGAGAAGGCCCTGTGGGACGGGCGGGACTTGGGCGCAAATGGGCGTGGCTTGTGGGGGCAGAGTGGGCGGGGCGCTGGCTGGCTAGATCGGAGTTGGAGGGGGCCCGTGTGCGACGGGCGGGCGTGGCTTGTGGGGCGGTGGGGACCGGCGCAGTCTGGCCGCGGAGGAGACTTCGGCCTATCTAGGGGGCATTTGTTCCGAAGTTCAAGGCAGTTTGCTCGCGGTCAAGGTCAGTTCTAGGAGCGGCAGGGGCGGGGCGCAGACGGGAAAGGCGGGGCGCCGGGTTCCGCTAGGCCCCGCCCAGGCCAAAGGGCCTGAGGCAGGCAGCTCTGGAAGGCGCCGGCGGCGGTAGCCGGGCGGAGCGGGGGCGCGGGTGCGGCGGGTGGCGGCCGGTAAGTGAAGTCACCGTGCGGACCCTCGTCGCGAGGTTGGGGTGGGATTCGAGGAGGGGGCGTCAGCGCCTCGGCGGGACGGGTTACTCCCCTCGCTTACAGGGGCGCGGGGAGCAGGGTCTGGCAGACGGCGTGCCCCGCGTGGGGAGGTCGGGTCGTGGAATCGGGGCTTAAGGAGGAGGGGGCCGTTGCCTAGGAAACAGAGGCTGGGACCGCAGCACCCTGTACCCCAGCAAAACGCCGGAAGGAGGGTTCCCCAGCCGAGGCCCCTAAATACCAGCTAAGCTTTCCGAGAAATAGGGGTTCAGGCCCGAAGGGGAGGGGTGAGCAGTGGCCACGGGGCGGCGTGGCCCCGATCCTGAGAGGTCTCAGGCGCAATGAGGCCGGGGTCCGAGGGCCAGGAGCAGCCTCAGTCCCCCTACCGGGTGCCAGTGGACTCGGGGTGCACCAGAAGTCCCACTTGGCCCCGTGGTGAAGTGGAACTGTTAGTTCAACAGTAGCGGAGCTCCCACGGGACCTGAAATCCGCTCGGCACGGCCGGGAGTGAGGAGGGGGCCGGTGGGCTTGGGACCGAGCTCCTGCAGGCCGGACCCAGGGCAGAGTCAGACTTAGCTTGGGAGGGAACTTCCAGGCTTCCCAGACGTAAAGGTTCCTGCTAGCACGCGTCCAGGCACCCGCTGCCAGCACGCTGCAAATGCCCCGGATTCTTGGAGCTCCTAGAGATGAATCGTTTAAGGGGGGATTGCCTGTAACCTTCATTTCATCAGGCTAGCTAGAATGGGGCTACACAGGACTACTACGCAGCCCAGAAGTGATGGAGGTGTGTGTGGGGGGGGGGGGAGTGGGGCTGTTGGGCTTTGCACTCTAGAGCCAGCCTGGTCTTTGGTGATGAAATGAAGTCAGGGTCCAGCTGCACACTGTGGCAGACCATGAGAGTGTTGAAGGGTCCACAGAGTGGCTGGCTTTGAGGAGGGTGGACACATAGCTTGGCACAGGAGTGGCTATGGCACCTCAGTGAGCCTGTCTGCCTCAGAGCTTCTTTCTCTTGAGGGCATTAAAGGAGACTGTCCCCACTTAAGACAGAGTTCCTTGCAGCAGTTCTCTCTTTGGAGGGCATATTTAGGGTATGTTCCCTAGAGGGTTGCCCATGGAGTACCCATTCTTCAGCTGGCCACTTGTGTTCAGGGAGGGAGGTTGCTACCCTTCCCCATCTCCTTCCCCTTCCACCAGGTGTTAGATGGGCATTCATAGCCCATTGAGTCACAGTAGTGGCTCTCTTGCATCTTGGCCACTCTGGATACATGGCAGCCCAAAGGACCAATGTTGAAATCTACCTTCTGCGTAATACATGACGAATTGAAAAGCTGTGTGTTCTGTTTGGAATTCAGAACTCACATGGCTCCTACTGTGGGTCTTCAGAGGCCTGACCTCTCAACAAGTTCTGGCTTTTCTTGGTGATTCCTGAAGAAGAGCTGGGTATTTGGGAGAAGAAACAGGACCGACTTAGCAGATTCAAGTGCAAACCACATTTTGTGTGTTAGGGGATTGGGTAGAGGTACAATGACTTAGGAATTGCTGGACAATTAGGTTTCTGTTCTTTCGGGCTTTCTGAGGTACTATTCCTGAATCTAGGCAGATGTGGTTGGGATTGCTTGCACTCCCTCCCTGGGAGGTCTCAGAAAATTTCAACCTAGTTACCATATGGCTCAGCTATTCCAAGTCATGTCCACATGTTCATAGTGCATTACTCACTATAGATGGACACAGCCTGATTGGTCATAGCTAAGAATGAAAACAGAATGTTATATATTCAAGTTGGGTGGTATTTGATACCAATTCCATGTGAAAATGTAGTAAAAGTGCCAGGAATGCTAACTGTGGTAGCAGTTGTATGTATGTTTGTTTCAGTACTAGAGTACCATTATCTTGTTGCCTGTAAGAATAAGACAAAGTGGCTCAGTGGTAGAGTGCTTGCCTTGCATGCAGGATTCCTCAGCACCACATAAGCAGTAAAAGCCAGAAGTAGCACTGTGGCTCAAGTGGTAGGGTGCTAGCCTTGAGCTGAAGAACTCAGGGACAGTGCCTAGGCCAAGAGTTCAGGCCCCATGATAGGCAAAAAAGAAGAAGAAAAAGAAGACAAGTTCTATTGCTTGACCTTTTCTCTCTCTCTCTCTCTCTCTCTCTCCCACCCTCCCTCCCTCCCTCCCTCCTTCCCTCTCTCTCTCTCTCTCTCTCTCCCTTCCTTCCTTCCTTCCTTCCTTCCTTTCTTTCTTTTCTTCCTTCCTTCCTTTCTTTCTTTCTTCTTTTTTTTGTCAGTCATGGAGCTTGAACTCAGGGCCTGAACACTGTCCCTCAGAATTTTAGCTCAAGGCTACCACTTGAGCCACTGTGTCACTTCTGGTTTTCTGAGTAACTTATTGGCAATAGGAGTCTCACAGACTTTCTTGCTGGGACTGGTCTTGAACTGCGATCCTCAGATCTCAGCCTCCTGAGTAGCTAGGATTTCAGGCATGAGCCACTGGTGCCCAGCTTGCCTGACCTTTTCATAGATAAACTTTTCATGTGAAAATATCTTCACCTTTTAAAAAGGAATAGCTATGCTGGATGCTCCCGACTCACCTGTGCCTGTAATCCTAGCTACTTAGAAGCCTGATATCTGGATAACGGAAATTCAAAGCCATTCTGGGCAGTGTCTGTAAGACTTATTCTCTAAAATCAGCAGTGAAAAATAAGGCTGGAGGCAAGGTTCAAATAGTATAGTACCAGCTGGGCATCGGTGGCTCACACCTGTAATCTTAACTACTCAGGAGGCTGATATCTGAGAATCTCAGTTCAAAGCCAGCCCAGGCAGGAAAGTCCAGTGAGACTTGTATCTCCAATAAACCACCAGAAAACTGGAAGTGACACTGTGGCTTCAAGTGGTAGAGTGCTAGCCTTGAGCTGAAGAGGAGGGACAGTGCCCAGGCCCAGAGATTAAGCCTCATGACGGACAACCTTACCCCCCCCCCCAAAAAAAAATAAAGTACCAGCTGTGATCACAGGCCTTGAGGTCAAACTCCAGCATAAAGAAAAAGAAAAAGAAAAAAAGGCCAAGTGCCAGTGGCTCAGACCTATAATCCTAGCTACTCAGGAGGCTGAGATCTGAGGATCACAGTTTGAAGCCACTGCCTTCACAGTTTGAAGGTAGGAAAGTCTGTGAAACTCACCTCCAGTTACCTACCAAAAAGCCAAAAGTGGATCTGTGACTCGTGGTAGTGTACTAGCGTTAAGCAAAACAATACAAAACAAAAAAACCCAAAAGAAACAACTCAGGAACAACACTAAGACCCTGAATTTAGGCCTCATGAGAACACACACACACACACACACACACACACACACACACACACACACACACACATGAGAAAACACACACACACATACACACGCACGTGCGCGCGCGCACGAATAGCTATAGAATTTCATTGTATGGCCATATAATGGTTGCTTCCATGGACTAATGGAGTCTCTCACTGAAGTGTACCCATCCCTACTGCCATGTGAGAACACACCAACATTCATTCATAACCTACAGGGTATGCAGCTGGAAATACTGATACTAAGTCCTTGGTTTAGGTGTCTGGCAAAGTAGGTCATGGCCCACAGAGGGGAATGTGACATCCTTGGAGACTAGGCAAAATTAACAACTAAGAGAGCCAAAGAAAATCTGCTGTCCAAGTTAGGCAATGGCTGCAGTGGGGGGAGGGATGGAATGTAGAGGAGAAGCACTAGTGAGGGTGTCAGAGGTCAGTGGAGGAGAGAGAAGATTCCAGAAGAAGCCTAGGCAGCTCTCAGTGAGACAGGGTGTCTATACTCCTGGGCTTACCCTGGGTCCCCTTAGACTTAACACTGGGAACCCTAGAAAAGCATTTGCCTTCATGTTTGGGGGACAGGTCAATGATCCTAGGGACTGTGGGAAATGGGGCCTCATCTCTTTGGTTTAACCAGGATGCCTGACTGGCCTGCTGGGGTCCCTGATTTTTTTTTCCTCCCAGGGAGGGAGACCCCATGATATGCCAAGGTCAGGCTTGTTTGTTCTCCTGGCATGACAAGATTTCAGTGGTGTCTGTTCTGGTCCCTGTCCCTTGTCCTTGTGGCCTTTCTACCTTTCTGCTACACATGCCCTGGACTTCTCACATTCCCTCCCTTCCTTCTTCTGGGCCTCTCATCTACACCTGACCTCTGCTGGGACAGGTCCTGACCCACCTTCTCTTCAGGGTTCTAGAACAACCCTGATGGTCCAATACGATCAATCTGTCATGGATCATAGATAATAGTTTTCAAGCTATGTAGCCCCTCTCAGGGCTAGTGTCCAGCCAGCTTGTAAGTGGGATTTTTTCTGGATGTTTTCCTGATCTTATCATTGTCTGACAGCCCCAGAGGGGCCTATGCAGAAGAAGGCAGGCAAATATACCCCATCTCTGGCCTCCCACATTCCCAGGCCCTGCTCAGGCCTCTAGGTAGTCCCTAAGCCCTCCTAGTCCTAACCCTCAGGAGACAGTCTCCTGAGACCCACTTGGCAGATTCAGTCTGACAAATGCTTGGGATCAGTGCTGGACAACCTCGTGAGGACTTAGAGTAGAGAAGGTTACACTGCCTCTAGGGGTCTTGGAAACCATCTTGGAGGCAGCCATGTTTTGGAAACCTGTATATACTAAAACATCCCAGAGCCCCTTCCTCTTCCTTGGCGCTAACTATAAAGGTGGCTGCCCTCTCCTTCTGCTCAAAGCATCATGGCTGCCCTCGGACCTCTGGTGAAGCCCAAGATTGTCAATAAAAGGACCAAGAAGTTCATCTGCCACCAGTCAGACCAATATGTCAAGATTAAGCGTAACTGGTGGAAACCCAGGGGCATTGACAACAGTGTGTGGAGGAGATTCAAGGGCCAGATCTTGATGCCCAACACTGGTTATGGAACAACAAGCAAAGCACCTGCTGCCCAGTGGATTCTGAAGTTCTTAGTCCACAACATCAAGTGCTGGAAGTGCTGCTCATGTGCAACAAGTCTTATTGTGCTGAGATCGCCCTCCAAGAACTGAAAAGCCATCGTGGAAAGAGCAGCCCTGCTGGCCATCAGAGTCACCAATCCCAATGCCAGGCTGTGCAGTGAAGAAAAAGAATAGAGGGCTCACCTGCACCTTTTATTTGTGCTTAAATAAAGCACAGAAACTGCAATAAAATAAAACATCCCAGAAAGTGACTGCAGTGATGATCAGACAATGGGTGGTCTTTCCGTCTTCCCTAGAGGGGCTAGCATACACTTCCCCATGAAGCCCTGGCCTCCAAGTCCAGGTCTTCCTTCCTTGAGGCTTCCCTTTCCAGCCAGCACCCTTGGCTGCTGTCTGTGTTGTGAGCTTTATTTCTCCCCTGGATACCTACTGCAGGTCCCTTGTGTATGGCTTCCTGCAAGCAGGAGGATGTTTGATCACCTGTTGCTGAAGCCATCATCCCCAGCAAGCCTTCCACAGCTGAGGATTTCACTAGGGTTAATTTCCCTCTGTTAGGCTCCATGTTTCCCCCTACATCAGCATCTGCAGCCTGTTTGAAGGCCACAGTGTCCTTGTCTGGGGTTCAGCTGGGCTGGAGACAAGCCCCATGGCTGCAGCCCCAGACCAGCCTCTCAACTTCCTGTGGGGGCAGACTCAGGGATACTGTAGGTGCTGTACCAGCCTCCCAGGTATGGTTAGGCAAGCTCTGCAACTTGGCTGCTTTTCCCTTTTGCCTCTAGGCTTAGCAGTTCCGCTGTAGTGACCTAGCCTAGCACTTCCTTCTGTCTCAGATGGCCTCTGCTTCTGGCTATGGGCCAAGGGTTCCCAGATTTTAGCTCCACTGAGATTCAGCCACTGTTTTCTTTCATTTTGTTGGGAACTTGTCAGCCTCCTGTAGTTTGGGGTGAGCATGAAGTCCAAAAAAATCAAGAGGGCAGCATATGATGAGGCCCTTCCTGCTGCAAAAGAGTGAGACAACAAAGAGATCAAAATTGAAACCCAGAGGCCTTTTACACTCAGCATTAATCCATACTGTGGGTGTGGAACCTTCAGGACCTAGGACCCTTCCATTACAGTCATTTCCTACCATTGCCACATGGTGATTAAGTTTTCAGTGCATGTTTTGGAGGAAACACATATCACAGCTGGCACGCTTGTTCTACTCTAGTTGCTCTCAGCCTTGCACTCAAGCTGGTGAGCCTGGAAGAATCTGGCTGCAGTGTTTGCTTAGCACAGTCTTGAAGAATTTCCCCATAGAGACTATACACCATTGGTGGGAGTGTCATGCAGTTAGCCACTGTGGAAATCAGCATGGAGGCTCCTCAGACAGCTAAACATGGACCTACCATATGATCCAGCTATACTATAACTGTGGATATGTCCAAAGGAATCAAGGTCTGTTTCTGCTTATTCATGTTTATAACAGTGTTGGTCACCATAACCAAGTCATGGAGTCAGCCTAGGTGCCAAGCCACAGATGACTGGGTAAAGAAAATATGTATGTGTATATACACACATGTATATATGTGAATATATGTATATTCAGCAGGGTGGCTGGGAATGGGGGTAGAAGTCACATATTCTTCCTTTTGAATTCCGCTAATAAAAGACTTAACCCCTCTCCCCCCCTTTTTTTTAAATTTCAGAGTAGGCAGTCCTAGGGCTTGAACTCAGGGCCAGGATGCTATCCCTTAGCATTTTGCTCCAGGCTGGTGCTCTATGTAAATGCACAATATAGTGTTATCTACTCACAAGGAAAAACACAATTGTGACATTTTTAGGAAAATAGGTGGAACTGGAGATCATCATGTTAAGTGAAATAAACCAGACTCCAATAAATACCACATGAAAAAGGCATGAATATAGAGGGGACTATTTGGGATCAGCAGGGATAGAGTGGGTGGTGAGGGTAAATATGATTGAAGCATTTGTGTATGTGCATGAAAATGTCAATGAAACCCATTATTTTGTATTATTAATACACTAATTTTCATTTAGAGGTGGCTTGTGCTGGCCAGTTCCTCACAGTCATGACACCATTTCTGTTCACTTCCCTAACTTCCCCTGGCTCTTGACTTTGGACTCTCTCCATTTATAAGAGCAGGGACCTCATACAAATGTGAGGCTACAGGATCCACAGCAAGAACATGCCCTATGTGTTGAATGAACATTACTCCCTCTTCAAAAGAAGCATATGGAATAAAAACAAATTAATGCGTGCAAAAAATTAGTCATAGCCGGGCACTGGTGGCTCACACATGTAATCCTAGCTTTTCAGGAGGCAGAGATCTGAGGATCGCAGTTCAAAGCTAGCCCGGGCAGGAAAGTCTGTGAGACTCTTATATCCAATAGACCAACAGAAAACCAGACGTGGCCCTGTGGCTCAAGTAGTAGAACGCTAGTCTTGAACTGAAGAGCTGAGGGACAGTGCCCAGGCTCAGAGTTCAAGCCCCATAACTGACAAAAAAAACAAATTAGTCATGACCATAGGTAGGTACATAGCATTTCTAGAAGGCGTCACATAGCCTTGACACCAGCAGGTCCCTGTAGAAGGGAGCAAGGTGGTTGGCAACATGGTTGAAATCAGTTACTCTTCCTTCTGAAGTCAGTTCAGATTCCACTAATGAAAGACTTACCTTTTTCTTTTCAGGGTAGGCAGTACTGGGGCTTGAACTCAGGGCCAGGGCACTGTCCCTTAGCTTTTTCTCAAGGCTATTACTCTACCACTTGAGCCACAGCTCCACTTAGGGCTTTTGGTGATTAACTGGAAGAAAAGAGTCTCATGGACTTTTCTGCCCAAGCTCACTTTGAAACACAATCCTCAAATCTGGGCTTCCTCAGTAGCTGGGATTACAGATGTGAGCCACTGGTGCCTGCCAGATTCACCTCATTTAGAAAGGGAGGCTCATGTCACTCCAGTCCAGGCCTCTCTCCCCTGACTCTAATATGGTCTTTTTCCCAGCCCAGCAGTGCCTGGTTGGAGATGGGGTCCCAGGTGTCAGTGGATACCGGAGCTCTGCATGTTGTGATTGTGGGCGGAGGCTTCGGTGGGATTGCAGCTGCCAGCCAACTACAGGCACTGAACATCCCCTTCATGCTGGTGGACATGAAGGACTCCTTTCATCACAATGTGGCAGCCCTCCGAGCCTCGGTGGAGAGTGGTAAGGTGGCCTCTCTCCCTTCTTCCTTCCTTTCCTCCCTCTTCCCTTCTCTCTTTCTGGCTGCCTTTGTGAGAATGTTTGTGTCACTACAGAGTATATGGTTTCAAGGCTGAGAATGATTTTCTTTCATGGAGAGCAAGTTACCTAAATGCTACCATTTCACTGCTAGATTTATTTCAGAGAACCTGATGGTTACTGGTCTTTTGTTTTATGAGAATAGTACTGGGATTTGAATTCAGTACTTTGTACTTTTTGCAAGGCTGAAAGCCACACCCCAGTCCCTGATGATTGCTAGTCTTAAACAGTTACTGTAATAAAGCCCTAAAGTTTTAAAGAGCTTGGGCTTTTTGAAAGACCAAAGGACTGGATGGCATTTTAGGGGCACGAATGCCTGGTGTACACTGGCTAGCCTAGCTCTGGCCTATTGGTATATAGCTTAGGGAAGATTCTGCCTAGTTCTATAATGCCACCTTTTCTGTATCTGTTCCCCAGGCTTCGCCAAAAAGACATTCATTTCCTATTCAGTGACCTTCAAGGACAACTTCCGGCAGGCCCAGGTGGTTGGGATAGACCTAAAGAGTCAGACGGTGCTGCTGCAGGGTGGCGAGGTAAGCTCAAACTCTGTTCTCTGGTATCAGTGGGCTTTCTGGAGGACTGTCAAGGTGTGAGAGAGCCTTCTGCGCCCTCCCTGCCCTGCCTGGTGCTGGACAGGTGCAGCTTTGTAAACAAAGGCTCCACTATAGGAGCATGGGATGCGACAGCAGGGATTTCATGTCTCTCCCATATGCCAGGCATTGTCTGATGCATTTATGTGAATCTCATTTAATTTCTGCCATGGCTCAGTGTGGTAGGTGATATATCATCATTTAAAAAATATTTTTGTGCCCAGGTTGGACTTGAACTCGGGGTTTTGCACTCTTGCTTGCCTTTTTTTGCTCAAGGCTGGTGCTCTACCACTTGAGTCACACCTTTCACACCTTCACCCTGGCTTCCCACTGGAGATAAGAATCTCTAGGATTTGTCTACCTGGGCTGTCTTTGAACCTTGATTCTCAGGTCTCAGCCTCTTGAGTTTACTGGGATTATAGGTGTGAGCTACCATAGCCCAGGATAACTTTGAACTTCAGATTTTCTTGCTCAAATCAACCAAGGGCTGCCATGACACACACAGTTCTCTTTTCCTCTTCCTTTACCCTTCTCTTTCTTCCTGTTTTATGGGTAGGTAGAGAGATCTTATAAAATGTTCAGGAAATTCTAAACTACCCCTTATCCTGTTTTTTCCCTACCAGTGTTTTCCTGGTCCTTTGCTTCCGCCCTTCCACTCCTGCTGCACTGCTGGACAGGTTCACCTCCCATTACCAGCATGGCTGGCTCTGTGGCCCAGGTGTTTTGCTTCCTTAGGTGGCTCCTGGTTTCTAGTGTCTTCTCTTGGCCTCATTGGTTTGGTAATTTCACTTCCTTCCAATGGGGCTGCTTTCCATGTGTCCAGTGGCTTCTCTATCCCTTACTCCTTGGCAGGTTGGGGGCCTGGTGTTGGATGCAGGTATCCAGGCATCCTCACCCCCTAACCTTTCTTTTTATTGTCCCTCACAGGCCTTGCCCTTCTCACATCTTATCCTGGCTACTGGCAGTACTGGGCCGTTCCCAGGCAAGTGTAATATATTTTGCCAGCAGGCTGCCATCCAGGCCTATGAGGACATGGTGAAGCAGGTGAGCTGTGGCAACAGGCGTAGGGGCAGTCAGGGCTGGCCAGAGAGCATCTGGTGTGAATAGCAGCTGGGGGGTAGGGGCTCAGAGCTGCCTATGAAGCTGGAGTGCTGAGAGTCACTGGGTAGAAATTTCTGGGGATGTGGCCACTGGCCTGTGACTGGGGCTTCGTGATTGGTGGAGCAGGCTTAGCTCCTGATTGCAGTCAGTTTCCACAGCATTTTTGTAAGAAGGGGAGGAAGGGGCCCATTTGGAACCCAAACATAGAGAGTTCTCTAAGCTTCTTAGGCCCTCTGCCCCAGGCAAAGGGTAGATGTGTAGGTGGGTTCCATGTTCCCTTCTTCTCCAGGTCCAGCGATCACAGTTCATCGTGGTGGTGGGAGGCGGCTCTGCGGGAGTGGAGATGGCAGCGGAAATTAAGACAGAGTACCCCGAGAAAGAGGTGAGGCTCCCACCTGGGCTATGAACTTCATGTGGCCAACTGCTTTTGCTTTTCCTGATGAGCTTCAGGAGTTTACGCAGGTCTCAGAGGCTGGAGCTCCACATACAGCCAATGTGTTTCCCATCTTGTGTTATAGTGAGATTCTGCAGGACCTTTTCCTAGAGAGCTAGGATCCTACAGCTCCATGGTGCTGCTCTGAGGTTGACCTTATCCAGGGAGAGGAGGAGATCAAGCCCCAGGCTGGTCTTTTTTTTTTTTTTCCCTCAGCCATGGGGCTGTCCCTCAGCTCTTCAGCTCAAGGCTAGCGCTCTACCACTTGAGCTACAGCACCACTTCTGGTTTTCTGGTGGTTTATTGGAGATAAGAGTTCACGGACTTTCCTGCCAAGGCTGGCTTTAAACTACGATCCTCAGATCTCAGCCACCTGAGTAGCTAGGATTACAAGCATGAAACTACCGGTGCCTGGCCCAGGCTTGATGTCTTATAAAGATGGCTATTCGTGTCTCCCTAGAATTCTGGTCTTTATCATGAAACCTAGACTTTGATAACCTCTTCTTGCTGTCAGCCAGTTTGGACAAGGTCATCCTCAGTTGACTTCTTGGTGTTTTTCCTGATGGGCACGTCCTTGCTCTGGAGAGCCATGTGATGGTCCACGCTCTGGTCAGTGGGGGAAGCCCCAGGACAGTCCCTCACTGCCCAAACAGCAGTGCCTCTGTCCTGGCCCTTCTAATGCTCGAGCGGTAGAGAACCTGCATGGCACTCAGAAAGGGAAGAACTGGCCTCCTCTGGGCTAGTGGGCTGTGATGACAGTAATGGGCCTGCAAGCTGCAGCTGGCCCACTGCACATGCACACAGCTTCTAAGAGCTACGCAGAGACTGTGGATGCTTCTTTTCATCCCAAGGGAGTGCTTAGTTTTGAAAGGAAAAAAATCAATCTACCCTTAATTTATTTCTATGGCTATTTTCTGACAGATTGTTGGAAATTATGAGCGATTGGTATAGTTAAAGGCTATTCATTTTGATTGATGAGAACTGAATGGGATAAAGCCACAAGAATAACACTGCTGTAGGATTTTTCACATATTGGTGTTCCAAGAGGAGCTGTGGGTCCTGCAGTTCAGTTCAGCTGTGACACTGAGGAGTTAGCTCCTGGCCCTGTAGATCAAGGGCTTCGTTCTACAATATTGGCCTCAAGTCAGATGCCAGCCATGCGTAGTGGTCCCCAACTTAGCTATACTCCTGTCTGACTAGATTCTAATTGAGAACTTTTATGACCCTGTGCTTGGGTGGCTAATGTGAACCTAGGAAAAACGGACTTACTATTGTGATTAAAGACAGAGGTTTGTTTACAGAGTACAAATGGAAGGCCAGGGAAAGAGGTTCCTAGTGCAAGGGTAGGAAGGGTCCTGAATTCAGGGGCTTTTATGCTCTGGATGTGGAGCATACCATCCTCTTGGCACATGGAGCTATCCAAACCCTGTAGGGAGTTTCTAGAGGCATCATGTAGGCCTGATGGATTATGAACTTAATCTCTAGTTTTTCTCGCCTTTCTGGAGGATGGGGGAAAGGGATGGTGGGTGTTTATGTGAGCCAGAGACTTGCGTTCCCTTTTATCTTCTGGGTCCTTTTGTCCTTAGGTCACTCTGATTCACTCCCAAGTGCCCCTGGCTGACAAGGAGCTCTTGCCCTGTGTGCGGCAGGAAGTGAAGGAGATCCTCCTCCGGAAGGGTGTGCAGCTACTGCTCAGTACGTGTGACCTCACTCCTCCATGTGACCTCACCTCTCTGCCCTTCCTGGCCTGCTGAGGTGGCCCAGGGGCTTGGCCAGGGCTTCCAGCAGCAGGGCCCATGTCTTCCCCATTGTGGTTGGATTCAGCACAAAGCACAGGTAATAGAGTCAAGCATCAAAGCCAGTGTGAGGCTCCTCATCCAGGAGGTGAAAGTCAACAAGGCAACAGTGCTAATCAGATAGGTGATACCTATTTTCTGAATTTTTTAAAGTGCATCTAAAGGATTTGCCCTGAGTTTTGATGTCTATATGCAAGCGGGGAGAGGATTGTTAGTTTATATTTTGAGTGGCAGGCATTTTATCCAGAACAGGTAGTGAGGGAAGCATCTAGCATTTTAGAGGAGTTCTAATCCCAGCAGTGGGACATCCACGATTTACTCCCTTGTGCTTTGTGTGGAAGAAGGTGAGGCATGTATAAGTCCTTCCCACCCATCACAACCTTTTCTTTTCTTTTCTTTTCTTTTGGGGGAGTGGGCAGTCCTGGTCTTGAACTCAGGGCCTGGGCACTATCCCAGAGTTTTTTTTGCTCAAGGGTAGTGCTTTACCACTTGAGCTACAACTCCACTTGCGTGTAGTTAATTGGAGATAAGAGTCTCATAGATACTCCTGCCCCAAATGGCTTTGAACTGAGATTCTCAGATCTTAGCCTCCTGAGTAGTTGGGATTACTGGCATGAGCCCCAGTGTCAGGTTCACAGCCTCCTTTTGGTAACTGTTTATTCAAGTCATGAATACCATGAGGTGCTTCTCTGAAGCTACCTGCCCTAAAACTTGATGGGAGGTGTGCTGGGAGGAGAAAGCTGACATCCAGAGTCAGGCTTGAGGCCTTCTGTGGAGTAGTTTTTCCAAGCACTTCCAGGGAAACGGTCTTACTTCCCTCCGGTGACTCCCTGGAAAACTCCCCTCCAGTTGCGTCCTCTGGGGCAGGGTATTCACCTGTGTGCTTCCTGGGGCAGGAGAGTGGACTGTAGACAGGACTGGGTGGGAAGATGGAGTAGAGGGAGGACTTGTGGGACAGCCCTGGCCTTGCCTATGGTCAGCTACGGTGTGGTGCCAGCCTTTGCCAGGCTCCTGGTCATGGAACCCCTGACAGGTGAGCGGGTGATCAACCTGGAGGAGCTGCCTCTCAACGAATATCGGGAGTACATCAAGGTGCAGACGGACAAGGGCACAGAGGTGGCCACCAACCTAGTGATTCTCTGCAGCGGTGTCAAGATCAACAGCTCTGCCTACTGCAGCACCTTTGGTAAGCAGGCAGCCGACTCTCTCCAGCACTCCTCAGGATGCCTTGCCTTTCCCCCTCCCTTCAGAGGCTCACTTGTTTAAATTATGAATGGTAACTTTGAAGTTTAAATGCAAGCCAGAGTCCCTTGTTGAGCTTTCCTCTGCTCTATGATGACCCTAGCTCAAGGTGACCAAGGACACCAGAATCTTCTAAAGTTAGGGTGCCCCCTAGTGGTAAATCCTGGGTCAGGCCTTTTATGCAAAAGTGTCTTCCTCTCCAAATTTGGATAGAAACATTTGGCTACTTCAGGTTACAGTTTGTAATGAGAGTTTTGGGGGTTGGGGATGGTGCTATAGCCTTATTATAGCCTTATAGCTCAGTGTCTAGCTGCCCGGAGGTGGGAGGGAGTGGGTTGATTTGTTAGAGCAAGAGACTCAGTGGCCAGGTCCTGTGGTTGCTTGATGTCCTCATGTCCTTGTCATTTATTCCTGAATATTGCTTCTGGGCCAGGAGCTCCTGCTTGCATCCAGCAGGAGTGGGATCAAGGACTAATCATGGACCCAGAGCCTAGAATTAGCATCCCATTGCCCTCATGTGTTTTCATGATAAGTTCCTTATCATTTATGAAAGTCCTGCATTTATTTTAAAATTCTGATCTGTGTCCAAAGAGGAATTTAAGACCCTGTTAACTGAGTTTTTCCTGTGTCCACCTGGATTTCCATGCCTGACCTTGCAGGAGGGTGTGAGGTGAGGACTTTGGGCAGGACCACAGCAGGTGGAGAGGGCACCTCTTGAACATGTGGCTCTGAGGTGTCTGGACCAGCACCCAGGCCTCATCCCCCTTGTGGCCTGCTACTGAGTGTGGCTCCTTGGGTTTAATCTGGGTGTGTCTTGTCCTGCAGAGAGCAGACTGGCTGGAAATGGTTCTCTGAGAGTGAATGAGTTCCTCCAGGTGGAGGGCTACAACAATATCTATGCCATTGGTGACTGTGCCGACGTGAAGGAGCCCAAGATGGCCTATCACGCTGGCCTTCATGCCAACGTTGTTGTGGCCAACATCGTCAACTCCATAAAACAGAGGCCCCTCAAGGCCTACAAACCAGGTACGGGGAGTGAGCATCACATGGGGAAAATGACCAGCCACTAGACCATAGTGCTGACACAAATAACTCCCTTTAAGGCTCTTTAAAAGTAACTTGCAGCCAGGTGCTGGTGGCTCACACCTATAATCCTAGCTACTCAGGAGGCTGAGATCTGAGGATCGCAGTTCAAAGCCAGCCCAGTCAGGAAAGTCCATGAGACTCTTACCTTCAACTAACCACCAGAAAACTGGAAGTGGCACTGTGGCTTAAGTGGTAGAGTGCTCTCCTTGAGCTGAAGAGCTGAGGGGCAGCGCCTAGGCCCAGAGTTCAAGCTCCTTGACTGACAGAGGGGGGAATAAAAAGTAAACCACTAGCTGGGGTGCTAGTGGCCCGCCCTGTAATCCTAGCTGCTTGAGGCAGAGATCTGAGGATTGCAGTTCAAAGCCAGCCTGGGCAGGAAAGTGTATGACACTTTTATCTGCAATTAACCACCAAAAAGCCAGAAGTGGAGCTATGGCTCACGTAGTAGAGCACTAGCCTTGATAACAAAAGCTCAGGCCCCGAGTGCTAGTCTCCAGGACTAGCACATAATAAAACAAACAAAAAAAGTCATGTAATACCCATGCTTGGGAAGCTGAGGCAGGGGGATCAAGGCCAGCCTAGGTTATATATTGAAACTCTAGCTCAAAAAGCAAACCAAGTCCCCCTAAGCCCTAGGATACTGCTTCCCTAAAAATCACACAACTCCTGCCCTGGAGGGAAAGGGAAAAGTGTACACTCTAGAAATTGCAGGCCATGGCTGTAAGTGGATCCTTCTCTCTGCTGTGTCTCTGCCCTGCAGGTGCACTGACCTTCCTCCTGACCATGGGCAGAAATGATGGTGTGGGCCAGATCAGTGGTTTCTACGTGGGCCGGCTCATGGTTCGGCTGGCTAAGAGCAGAGACCTGTTTATCTCTACAAGCTGGAAAACCATGCGGCAGTCTCCACCCTGACGGGGAGGCCAGATGGAAGGCTCAGCACTGCTACAGATGGGCAATGGGCCTCTTGACAAAGGGCAGGAGATAATGTCCTGTCTGAAAGAATTACTCGTATGAAACCAAAAAGTTAAGAGAGAGAGAGAGTAGAGAGAGGGGAACATTAAAAGAAAGAATTGTTTGAAGGTCTGTTTGCTGCTCAGCTGGCAAGGTCTTGGGGAAGATGCAGGCAGCTTTCTGCCCCTCAGGCTCCTCTGCAGTGTGTGTGTGTGTGTGTGTGTGTGTGTTGGGGCTTGAGTGTGGTGTTCAGAGTTGGGCAGAGATCTGTCTGTGAGGACAGGAAGGAGAGCCTGTAGGTGGGAACAGCTAAGAAAGGGAACTGGCCTGCACCCCAAGCCTTTCCTCAGATGGGTTTGAGGAAGCTCAGACAATAAGCAGGGTGTTAGTAAGCCTTATTGTAAACTCTAGTTTTTGGTTAGTGTTTGTACTTTATATTTTGGACACAATATCTATGAACTGTGGCTCAAGCACCCTCCTGTCTCAGTCTCCTTAGTTGCTGGAGCTACAGGTATATACTGCTGTACCTGACTAGTCTCTATCTTCTTGCATCTTTGTGAGCCTTTCTATTTCTCCTGTTTTCAGTCCTAACTGTATACCATAGGCATATTTAAGAAGAGCTAGACACAGTTTGTTCTGGCTAGTCATGGTGAGGTTTTGTGAAGCTGTGCGGGCTGCTGATGTATTTAAGGAAAGGCAGATCACCTGTGAGGAGGTGTCATGAGTGCATTCAGGTTGCTGAGAGCAGCCCGCAGGCTACCCTAATGTTTCTGGGGAATGCAACTCATATAAAAACGACAATGAGGAAGTGTTAAGAGGGGAAATCAGAAACAGACAAGAGTGAGACTTACAAGCAAATTTGTATGAAGCTCTAGCAATTCTGGGGGAGGCGAAGAGAATCCCAGGGACTTTTTGGTTTTGTGCTTGTTTTCCTGGTCAACCCCTATCCCTGGTTTGCAGGCTCAGCCTGGTGGTGGTAATGTCTTCCACTGACTTGGCTAGGTATACAAATAAATTCTGTATTTGAGAGGGACCTTCCAATATGGAGAAGCCTCTTTTGGACTGCCTCAGCTAAATGGAGATCATCTGAATAAATTCTGGCCTGGTTCTGCTGATCTCTGAACACTTCTGATGGTGATTCCTGGGACAGTCTTTGGGGACTAGCCCCACTGGTTCTTTGTTCCATTTATATAGATTTTTTTTTCTAACGTAGTAGTGTTTGATGGAGTTTGAACTCAGTATTTTGTGCTTGATAGGATGGTCCAACTGCAGTCCTCTAGAGTTCAGCCTCCTGAGTAGCTAAGATTGTGAGTCACTGGTGCCCACCAAGTCTGTTTCATTTAGCTGCCCAGGTCTCAGTAAAACTTGTGCTTCTGTCCCAGAGGCTGGTAGCCCACATGTGGCTTTGTCCACAGCTTTGCCCTTGGGACCCTATCCAGCAGGCTTCTACCCAAAGGCAGGACCCATTGCCAGCGTGTGTGTGTGTGTGTGTGTGTGTGTGTGTGTGTGTGTGTGTGTGTGTGTGTGTGTGTGTGTGTGTGTGTGTGTGTGTGTGTGTGTGTGTGTGTTTGTGTGCGCGCGCATGCGCACATGCGCACCAGTTCTGGGGCTTTGACTCAGAGCCTGAGCAGTGTCCTTGAGCTTTTTTGCTCAAGGATAGTGCCCTACCATCAGAACTACAGCTTCACTTCTGGCTTTTTTGTGGTTAATTGGAGAGAAGACTCTCATGGGCTTTCCTGCCTGGGCTGGCTTCAAACTTTGATCCTCAGATCTCAGCCTCTCCTGGGTAGCTAGGATTACACCCCACTGCCTTTTGTTATTTACATACAAACCCGTCTAGAAGTATCTGTCCAAGGGAACAGTTTTAAGAATGAAGGAAAGCTTTCAATAAAAAAAGAATATATAATAAGAAAGACACTGAATCTTTTATTTTTTTTCCCTTTCATTTTCTTTTTCTTTAAAAAACAAAATGAAATAAACAAGAAAGCCCAGAGCAAAAAAACTTGAGGAGAGTTACAGATATTATAGGGGTCAGAGGTCAGGGGAGGGGGCTCTAAAACAAGAGAAAAGCACCCATGAAATCTCTTTCCTTTCTTCTCTTCCCTGTAGGAAAGAGATAGCCAACAGACCCATGTCCCTCTCATATCATCTTCCCTCAGTAAAAGGAGGAACAAAAGATTTAAGAATCCTGGAAAGATTTTGTGTGTGTGTGTGTGTGTGTGAGAGAGAGAGAGAGAGAGAGAGAGAGAGAGTGTAAAAGTCAATGCTATAAATCTAAAATGAGGTCTGTTTTTTTAAAAAAGTTCTAAAACAGGAAGAAAACACATGGAAAAACTCCCTGGTGGAGACCTGGAAAATTATAGCCAAGGCCCTTTGTAAAGACAAGATAATGCAAAGGGCTCCTTCCTTGGGCAGGGTCTGCTCCTCCCTGGCTACCCACGACCCCTCATCTGCCCTCTGCTCCCCTGCCAACATCCTTCCCTGTTGCTTTAAAAAATAAAACCCCACTCTCATGAGTCGATTCTCCATCCCTGCTGGTGCTGGAGGCCCTACTTGGTATCTAGCTTGGCCATCTCCTGCACATAGATGCCGATGCTCTCACTGTCAAAGAGCAGGAAGTAGACGTTCTTCAGCGAGGACGCGCTTGAGTCGTCAAAGTGGGCCGAGATGGCCTTGAGGGTCACTTGGGCAGCCGTCTGTTTGGGAAAGCAGTTTCTGTGCCAAAGCAAAAGGAGAGCCATGTCATTTTGTCCCAAGTCCCACTGCTGTAACTGTCCTTAGCCCAGGGGCAGTGCTACCAGGTCCTAATGGTGTGAGGGGCCTCACTTGGAACCTCTCTTCAGAGGTGCCACATTAACAGATACTATACTACTAGCCAAGGTTACCAGGCTGGCAGGTCTCCTGACCCAAGTAGATGCTGGCCTAAAAACCTCTAGCAGTTCAGCATTTCATAGCTGTGTGCTACTCAGGAGGATGAGACTTGAGGATCACAATTCGAAGCCAACTCAGGCAGGAAAATCTGTGAGACCTTTTGGTAGTTAACTACCAAAAAGCCAAAAGTGGAGCTGTAGCTCAAGTGATATCCCTCTAGCCTCAAGCACAAAAGCTCAAAGACAGTGGCTAGGCCTTGAGTTCCAGCCCCAGAACTGGCACAGAAAAACAACATACATGCCACCTCGCCTCTGATCATGGTATCTCTCTGCAGCTGGAGAGAAGGCCTCTAGATGTGTGGAAGGTGGAAACTAGGTTTCTCACCCTGTTGCCAGGCTATTGTGCTTGGCTGTACTGCTAGGCCTTGGCCGTGGGCTCTAGAATGGGCAGAGCAAGGATAAATGTATTGAGGAGTAGTTGGTGCCCAACAAAAATGCTGAAGCCATCAGCTCGGGAACCATATCCTACCTGCCGCTGGGGAAGGGCGGGAAGGCAACGGACTTTAGTTTTTTGTCCTCGGCTGCTGACAGGCAGTTTTTGATGGTCTCCTCCAGCTGCTCTTCACATTTGTCGGAGCCCCACTGGGGGATGTGGCAGTGGATGACAAACTTGGCCGCAAGTCCACTGGATTGGCTGATGGCGGCTGGGACATGGGCAAGAAAATAACCAGCAGGTGATTCCCTAAGTGTACTTAAGCCAGGAAGTCAAGCAGAGCCTCACAGGGGCACCTGATAGATTCATGGGGGGACAAAGTGCAGGGAGCTGAGTCTGTGACAGTGTCTCACGCTTATGTGGCCACCAATGGGCTCTGGGTACAACTTATTCCCACATCTAGTTGTGGGGACACATGGAAGTCATGTTGTATTAGGTTGTTTAGTGACCTCCCCAAAACAATCATGTTCAAGCCCTAGAACTGGCACCAGAAAAAAAGAAAAGAAAAAAAAAAGAGAAAGAAAACAGGGATGAAGGTATGTCTTAAGTATAGCCAACTACCACCACCAATCAACCAATTAAACAAACAAAAAATGAGCTGGGCGCCAGTGGTACACACCCATAATCCTAGCTACCCAGGAGGCTGAGATCTGAGGATCAGGGTTCAAAGCCAGACTGGACAGGTAAGTCCATGAGATTCTTATCGCCAATAAATCACTCAGAAAACTGGAAGTGGCGCTGTGGCTCAAGTGGAAGGGCCTTAGCCTTGAGCTGAAGAGCTGAGGGACAGCATTCAGGCCCAGAGTTCAAGCCCCATGACCACCACCACCAACAACAAAAAAAGAAAACAAAAGAAAACAAAACCAAACAACAAAACCAGAAAGATTCATTTGAAAGATACAATGTCCACATAGTTGCTGGCAGGGGTGGAGAGCAAGTCTGGGGGCTGGAATCAGGCAGGTAAGTCTATAGCTCCTGGCTTTGCCTGTGCCCAGTGGGTACTGTGTGCAACCAAACAGGATGAGCCTGTCCACCAAATACCAACGAAGCAGTTGGCATGTCGTGCCTGGGAGGCTTGACTCAGTAACTGTGGTGATTTGTTCCCTAGCAGCAGCACCATGTTCTCGTTCAGAATGAATAGTGATGACGGGGTGGGGGAGAGGGGACATGGAGGCCTGGAGGCCCCTCTGTGGAGCGGATGACCCTATGCCTGCTTGGCTGTGGTTAGCTCCTTTTGCCAAGCTAACTTTTTCTTTTTCCCTGCTTCCCTCCCTCCCTCCCTCTCTCCCTCCTTCCCTCCCTCCCTTCTTTCCTTCCTTTTTCTTTCTCTCTTTCTCTCTCTTTCTTTCTCTCTCCCTTCCTTCCTTCCTTTCTTTCTTCCTTTCTTTCTTTCTTTCTTTCTTTCTTTCTTTCTTTCTTTCTTTCTTTCTTTCTTTCTTTCTTTCTTTCTTTCTTTCTTTCTTTCTTTCCTTCCTTCCTTCTTTCCTTCTTTCTTTCTGCCTTCCTGCATTCTATCTTTTGTGCTGGCCATGGAGCTTGAACTCATAGCCTGGGTGCAGTTCCTGAGCTTTTTATTTTCAAGGCTAGCATTCTAACACTTGAGCCACAGCTCCACTTCCAGCTTTTTGGTGGTTATTTAGTCTTTCTTGCCCAGGCTAGCTTTGAACCATGATCCTCAGATCTCAGCCTGCTGAGTAGCTAGGATTACAAGCATGAGCCACTGGCTACCAGCTTTCACATCTTTAATAAAAATAAAATAATTGTTATCAGCCTGCTTAAAGCTGAGTCCTTCTAGAAATAAATTACATTTTCTTCTATGTCTCCTGGGGACACTACCAAACCAAGCCCACACTCCATTAATCTCTATGCACGTGCACATGCACACAACACACACACACACACACACACACATACACACACATCAACCCATTGTACCTTTTGGGGAAGAGGTTGCATGTGGACATTGGACACTTTCTAGTCCCCAGAGCATATGACAAGGTCTGCCTGGGCCACTCAAATGGTCAGAGAGGAGTCTGATTAGCTCTAGTGTGTTGTGCTGCACATGTGGAATATGTGTGTGATGTGTGGAGTGGGGCCCCACTGGGAACAAGGCCCAGGCTCACCCTTACCTTCAGCAACTTCCAAAGGGCCTTGAGATTTGCGAAGCTCCTTTACTGTTTCCAAAAACTCTTTGCCCCCGGCCTTCTCCAAGGCTTTACCTGCAGAGAACAGTAGAGGGTTTGAAGGTATCCTGTCCTTCCTTCAGGGAGATCAGGAAACAGCCAGGACTCAGAGCTTCCAGTTGTTATCCTGGCCTTCCCATCCTCCCCAGTAGCAGGGGTCTCTGGATCTGTGCGTGACAGACTTAGGCAGCAAGCTTTAGTAAAGGATCTTTTTAGGGCCATGCAGTAATTACAACTTGAGCCCTGAGGATTTTTTTAAAGGGACAGAACACAAGAGTGTTCTGTTCTATATGTTTAGAACCCATATTGAATTTCTATAGTGTTCTCAGCGGCATAGCCAACATATTGTAAGGATTTGGGGTCAAGGGCCAGACACAGGCCCAGAATAGCCTGCCATGTTTCCTTTATCTGGGCCTTAATTATAAGTGGAAAAATGCAGATTTGAAAGCCATATTTCTTTCTCTTTCCCTCCCTTCCTCATCTCTCTTCTCTCCTCCCCTCCCTTCCTTTCCTCTCCCCTCTTTTCTCTACACTGGTATGGTCTGAGTTTGAGTGTTTGCTCCAATATC